AGGTATAAGGGTATCAGTCGCTAAGAATAAAGCCTTATCTACCATTTTGTTAGTTGGATAAGTCATATCATATATAGAAAACATTTTATCAAAGGTTACTTAACTATATAAATGACCGATTCTGACGACAAGCTATATATTTTAGCTTATTCTTAATCCCTATAACTCTCACCTTAATCCTCCGTCGGCTACGATCGTATGGGTCTCAGACATACGCCAGCTGGATATTGCTGAATTTGACCCTTAGTACCATCTCATGCCTCCAACCAGTGAGTATAGCTATAAGCATAGTTCTATACATCGAATGTCGAACATAGGGATCGTAGGGTATATTGTCGGCTACCACCTATAAAGTCTATAGAATAAGAAGTATATCTATAATGGTTATAGACACTTTCTTATAATCTACTAGTTTAAGGCCAAACTCTTTGACTAAACTCTTATAGATCTACTAACTAAGCATTAGCAATCTGCCGTATAAATGTAGGAGTATCATACTCTCTAAGAGCCAAAGGAGAATCATATATTGCTGATAGTGCTAATAGGGCCTTTATCATAAGCGCCAGCCCTATGCTTGCCATACTTAAGCCTTCAGAACCTAACCTAGTCTCTAAGCTCCTTATCTTTTATTACTATAATTCTTGTAGGCTTTAAGATCTTCTTATCAGCTTCTATAATCAAAGCCTTCCATATTATGTTGACACTATCAAAACAAGTAATTTGATAAGCCCCTTCAAACTCTTTAGGTTCTAAAGTAAAACGCTGATATTTTAAGGCCTTGACATAAGACCTAAGAAAGGTCTGGCAAGCTTGTTTCGATTCTAATATCTCTTTACAAAAGTCGAACCAGATTTATATAAGGTCTAATCCTAGCTTATTTCTGACAAAACTACCTAGCTAATATATATTAGATCCGAAAGAAGTATAAGATGCTATATACCAGCCACAGCCTCCATATATCTTCCATTCAAGCGAGGCAGACTTACTTATCCCAGTTTTTGAACACTCTAAAGCGTTGACCTTCTATTGCCTTAACGAACTTAGCATCACCTTCCATCATATCGAACTTAACATCCTTAAAGATCGTCTGAACCTCTTCTACAGTTATGTTGGCAAAGCGACTATATATCTAGCCTACCGTTTTGACAGAGCCTTTACATTCTCCTCTCATAGCAAATGACATATTATATAGTATAGATAGAATAGAAGAGGATATACCTATATATTTAAAAGGAGGGTAGTATAACTATATCTTTATACCTATCTAATACTCAAACGGCAGCTATGATATAACCTATTGGTAGTATAGGTCTGACGCTTATGATGATCTCAGTTTCTACATATACCCTATGATTTCGCATTATCCATCCTAGATTAAAAAACGGTAGAGATAAGGCTTGCCGTCACAAACGGAAATGTAGGGTAGGATAAACGCTGGTCTGACTAAGAGGTTGGCGACAGCGAGTCGATGCTTGAGAAGGCCGACGCAAGCAGCTAACGACAGGGCAGGTGGCATGCTGAGTCACCAAATCGCTGCACCCAGTTTCGAGGAGTCCGCCACCATCGCGTTGGGCAAAAAGATGGTGCGCGTCTCAACTGTTTGATTCCACAGGAGGTCCCACGCAAATCGTAGCCCGAATAGGAACATGCCCCATCCGCCCAGTCGCTTCTTTCCCAGTTGGAACGCCTCTTCTACCTCTGCCGGTGCATCAACGGCTGCACATACCGCGTCTTGTCTCGCACCGAGCATAGGAGGCACTTCCGACTCCCGCCCCGCTAGTATTAAAGACCAGCTGCGTAGGAGGGCTTGCTGTCCCATGACATCCATGAGTGTATGTGGCCATGAAAGACCCACGAGTGTCGCATCGTTGAATGAAGTGATATGTAGTGATAGCTGGGGGACATCCTGGGAAATGAAATCCTCAAGCGTCTCCGGCGCATTTTCTCGAGCCGCGAAGATTCGAAAGCCCTGAGGACCGGCCTGAATGGAGGCGGTCTCGGTAGCTTTCGGGAGTGTCTTTGCCACAGGGTGATCATCGATATTCACGGGAAATGCTTGGCTGGTATAGAACACTGCAGGACGGGCTTCGGTAAAAGGCCGAGGGGCATAAATCTCCAATTCCCCATTCTCCTGGTAAACAGTAAGTGGCCAGCCATCATCGTAGCAGGCTGCGGATCATCGAGCAGACCTTTAATCTAAGTCTACCGCCAACCTTTCTCCAGTCTCCAATCTCTAGTAATCTTGACAGCGAGGTGTGTAACTTGTTCGCATCCAACACGTCATTGAAGCGCAGCGTCCACGTGACGACAATCCCTCGCAGGGTCTTGGTGTCGTCTAACATGTGAACTGGGTATATGTCGTCGCTTCCAATTGGCGACGGAGCATCTCTTTTGGGAGAGGCTCCTAGGAGGCGCCATAGAGCCATTTTCAGAGTCTGCTTCTGAAATCGGCTTCTGAGTGACAATTTCCATCTCGGTCTGTGACTTGGACATTACAAACGGCTCGTTTTATTATGATTGTTGAGTCGCGCTTTGATCTCTTGGACAGATAGGGGTTCGCTTAGTAGTGTAATTAAAGGCTTGGTAGTCACACATTGTCACAACCGCCACAATAATCCTTCTCCGCCGTCCTTACGAATGTCCTCGTCACAGAGCTTCTCAGCACTCACTTGTAAATGGAGAACCAACCTAAGGAAGGAATTTTTGCGTTGCTAGTACTATTATGTCTACCAACGTGGGCAGCAACATCTACAACCTTTCAAGGACAATAATTCAAGCACAATTAGAAGGATGAACGGAGGGAATCAGCATCATTGGGCACGCTCACAGCTCTGAAGTGAGTGAGGGGGCAGAAAGGCACTAAATAACTGCCCAATATTTTATGAGCGAACCCGGCTGACATCCTACCCGAGGTGTGTTTGATAGGACAAGCTCATAAGTTCCCGCGCTTCCAGCATTGGTACCTACAATTCCCACAGTTAAGCTTCTAACGCTTCTCGTGAACAAAAGATAATACGTGAGATTATAAATTCAGGGCAAATCCTATCCACGCGACGAATTGCAGTGGTTTCAATACAATCTTGTTGCCAATCATGCCACTGCTCTGATGAGGAAAAGAAGACTCGATCGTCTGTAGAATCAAGTCAGGAACCACTTGACCACTGCTGGAGAAATTAAGCATTATTTCCCCACAAGATTTCTTCCTGTTTAAGGAATAACAAATTCACTTGCCAAGCTGGACCACCTCTTTAACAGTCATCCTTTTCTTGGTGTATCGATGATCACAGACGCGAGAATAGGTCGTCGAGCAAGACTGCTCTATGTTGAGCCCATTTAATAAATTGATGATAATTTGTGAGGCGCAATTTTGATACCAAGACAGAGTCAAACAATGTCCTCATACTGCACACTGACCCTTCAGCCAGGTTCGTGCATGTCTATTGACGGACTAGTGTCTCGCAATCATCACTCCAGGCGATTGAGATTCCCTAACTCCTTTTCATCCATCACCGAATCCACTGCATCAGTCTTCTCATAATCATTTCCGTCGATATTTGTTTCTTTGCTCTTGATGTATAAAGAAATGCAGTTAAGCCCAGCAAGAAGTGTAAAATGTCCACAGTCGGCGACTTTCCGGAATCGATCCTCAGATACACCCCGAAGCCCAGGAAAGCAGTGAAGAGAAGAGCGGCATAGCGACGAATCTTTGGTAGTAGGAGGAGAATGCCGAAAGTTATGTCCACAAAGGGAACAAAGCGCATCGATTCATCATCGGGCGCGCGATCAAGCTGATATTGGTAGAAAGTTGGGGTGTATTGACCGTGAGTGAAGCGACTGAATCCTGCTAAGAAAGCAAGACCAATCGCACCTAGGTAACCGGCTTGGCCGATGATTGACATGTTGTGTTCAGAGATGCTTGAAAGGAGCCAAATGCTGTTTGAATTAGTGAGAGTAAGGTTGAAAAAAGGTAAGATTTCGGCACGATGTCAAGTTGATAAAGGGCGACAGCTGTGCCGCATAGGATTAAGTGGCGCGCGTCAGCTCACACTAGCACAATTGGTGCTTATGTCGGAATAGTGTCATTCTGTGGACCATTGCCTAAACGAAATGCCTTCTTTTAGGGGTTCTCGCCGTAATCATTCCAATAGTCGCAGGTCTAGATCTCGGATTTTGACTTTAGGAAAACCGTGAATGTTCCCTTTACGTTCCATATTTGTTGACTTTTCTCTGTACTGTGAGGGGGCCACTCGCTCCACACACATCGACCGAACTATGGAAACGCTGTAGCAACCTGAAAATTAACTTTGAATATAACCGTTGAAGATTGAAGCCGAAATAGAATGCAACCTCTCTCGATCATTATATATTCAAGTTTACCAAAACGATGTCGGGTGAAGCCCCTCGATGTGTTATTGCATGACTTACATCGTTCATGTACTGATTTCATCAGTGTTTGTTGTAATACTACGTGGATTTAGAAAGTCGTTAAACAGCAGGTCCGTAAGGAAAAGACGTCACCCTTTCACAAGAAGGTTCTAGATATCCATATAAGTAAGGTGGGATCTGCCCAGCCTTATAGCACGTCTGGGCAGATCTTGGGCATAGGATGGAAGTATTGCTGTTATAGACAGATCGGGCAGGTGAGCTGAATCCCTCCACAACATTGCGATAAAGTTATCGGTCTTGTTTTAATCTGCATGACACCTTATTGATCCCTTACCGGCACTGCGCTGCAACAGCCGGAGCTACCTGCATTGCTTCTTGGCAGACTTTTGACTGGCAGAGCTGGCTCCAGTAGCCACAAGCACGCCATGCGTCCGAGTTAAACGATACCATCTGCCAAGACTAGAAAATGCTACCTACCCATTTCATTCTAAGGTCTCATTTCGTATATGAGCTAGTTGATGCTGATGAGGGTATAAGTACGTCGACGGGTGGCTTGAGCAATCAAGTCGATAGACATCTTTTCACAACACCTGGCATTATACCTGATACAAATCATGAAACTCCTTTCTGTTGCAGTCTTCGTTGGCTCCATAGTAATTGGGGTCAGGAGTAGAGTCAACTATGATGGTTATCGGGTTTTCCGGGTTTCAACTCATCATGACGCGGATGCAATTCAAGATCAAATCAAGACTTTTACAACTATCCCATTCAATCTTGACGTATCAGAGCATGTGGATGTCGCCGTCGCGCCAAAGGACGTGGCAGCATTTGAGGCACTCAATCTAGACACCGAGATCCTCCATGAAGACCTTGGTGCAGACATCATTGACGAATCTGCATCTACTTTCAGCACAGGTATGTGTCTGATTTTATTACCTAAGAGTTCAGTGTCATCATTGCTAACGCACTCTAGATGACTTTTCGGTAGCTGCTCTGCCGGATCTAGCTTGGTTCAACTCGTATCATCCTTACGCAGATCACGTCCAGTTCTTTACCTCACTGCAAGCTAACTTTCCAAACAACTCTGAGTTGGTCACAGCTGGTACATCGTACCAGGGCCGCTCGATTTTTGGCATTCATCTCTGGGGAAGTGGCGGTAAGGGGTCAAAGCCCGCCATTTACTTCCACGGAACAGTCCATGCTCGCGAATGGATCACCGCTATGGTGAGCTTATTGATTGTATTTAAGAGAAGACGAATGAGACTGATATGTCAATTGAATAGGTCGTTGAATACATCACCTACCAGCTCATTGATGGTTATAGCAAAGACGCCGCAGTGAAAGCTCTGGTCGATAAGTTTGACTTCTACATCCTGCCATTTGTCAACCCCGACGGTAAGCCACTTCGCAGATCCTTCCGAGCAACCAGCTGACACTCCAGGCTTCGTCTACACACAAACCGACGACCGGCTATGGCGCAAGAGCCGCCAGCCCCGCAGCGGCAGCAGCTGCATCGGCACAGACGTGAACCGCAACTGGCCCTACCGCTGGGACGTGCCGGGCGGCGCCTCCACCAACCCCTGCTCGGAGACCTACAAGGGCGCCGCGGCAGGCGACACCCCGGAGAGCAAGGGTCTCGTGGCTTTTACGCAGCAGCTCGCGGCGGACCAGGGGATCAAGCTCTACATAGACTGGCACTCGTACGGGCAGTACATCCTGCTGCCGTACGGATACAACTGCTCGGCGCGGGCGACCAATCACGCCAGGCAGCTGACGCTGGCGACGAACACGGCTAGCACCATCGCGCAGAGGTATGGCACGAGGTTCACGTATGGACCGAGCTGCTCGACGTTATACGCGACGACGGGCGATAGCGTTGACTATCTGACCGATGTGTCGAAAGCTGAGTTTGCTTGGACGATTGAGCTGCGGCCAACGGGCAGCTCTGGGGGAGGCTTCGTTTTGCCTCCTGCTCAGATTCTGCCAAGCGCACTGGAGCAGTGGGATGGGATCAAGTACCTACTTGCGCAGGTCTAACACCGTGAATCTCGAATGCGAGACAAAGTCCTCTCCGTAGTTAAAAAGCCTCGAGTTCTACAAATAGATTTTTCTCTTCATCGTTTGATGACCGCTGGGTATCTCAGTGCTCCCTGTCGTGCGCCACGTACTATCCGTAAGCAAAATCGACCTCCCGTGCATCACTGCTCCAAATCACTATCCTCCCAAGTATAACCATCATCTACTATAACCAAGGCAGACGAAACTAACGCCTTTCCTCCGTCCCAGCAAACTTGACACTCTTCCTCCTTTCTCTCTCCATACCTGTAGACCGCCCAGGACTAGAGCTAAGAACGCTCGCACCTGGCAAGCGTGAATTACCACTTGATGCCAGGGTTTCTCGAACAGATGCCACCGCTCTGCTCTGAGCAACCTCATGGAGATCACCATGGATGTCCGATCCGGCACTACCTACCAAGCCCCCGCGACGCCGTCCATCCTCACCGTGGAGCTTGGGAGAAGATGTCGATTTGCTTCGAGTCACTTCACGAACAACTCGACTGACCTCCTCAGTCGAGGCCACAGCTGTTTCGGCTTGCCACTTGCCTGGAAGGCAAGCGTGGCCACAACCATCGAGCGGGCAACAACCATCCGAGAACTCACCTCCCATGTCAGGCAATTGCCCAGGGTCGTACACACCGGATGCTGTTGCGTCGGCGAAGGAGGAATGCCAGCCTTGCAGGCAAGTTGAATGACCACCATGTCCACAGCCGGCGCAAAACCACCAAGTCGACAAGATTGATCCCTGACGCGTCTGGTGTTCCGCAGCATCCGGCTTTGCTGTTTCACTGAGAACTAGCTCCAAGGAAAGGGGCTGAGAAACCTCAGGAAGCGTGTTTTCTGTCACGTCACGATGTCCACAGACTGCGCATGGCCCCATCACCTCATGGCACCGTTCACATCTCCACACGCCTCCATTCGACTTGCGGTCCACCTCCCTAGGCTTACGGCATTTCGGACAGAAGAAGCCAGCCAGCACATTCTGCTGTGCAGGCATAAAAATGGACTGGAAATTATCGCCCCAATCGCTGAGGGGTTCGCCAGGCCAGCCTTTGACACAAAGGTTTCGAAGCAACGCTGCTTCAGTGAAAAGTTTCATCCCCATCAGCCGCGAGTGATGCTGCTTCAATATCGCAGTAGCTTGAAACAGGTCGATTAGATCTTTCGGCAGCAATGGTTTGAGAAGCAGAATCATGGCCGATGCATTGAGTGCAGAGGACTTCGCTTCAAATTGGAGAGCTCGTGTTATTAATGTGTATGGCTCAAGCGGGGTGACCCTTGGTTTCTCCGGGTATTCAGATGCTAATACGTAGGGATATGGATCATCATCGGACCATGGAAGATAATCTCTATCGGTAGTCACTTCAGGAGTGAGGTCCCGGTCTTTCTCGGGTGATGCTCGTTCACTATCAGGATGACCAAAGCTGTGGATATCAGAATGCCCAATATCTGACGGTGTGTCATGAGGATATAGGTCTGGTTTAGGGTGCGCTCCATCATGCGAATCCAGACTGTCGGTTGTGGTTTGGGTAGGTAGTGCGTAGTCGTCCGTAAGATTTGAGTCGGCGCGTTCGATTGGCTTCCGTAATGCCAACATCTTACGGAACTCGGGCGACTCTTCCATATGTCTCCCTCGGATGCGACTTCCATATTCGCCACTTGTGCTATCGCTACCGGTGTCACTATATTGTCTCGGCGTTGCAGGCAACCGTTCTGGTCGCCTCGGGATTGACGAGCTGTCCGAAGACCCAGTAAGTCCGCCAGTACTCTGTCTACTCCCACCAGATATAGAAAACAGTTGAGCGAAGCTTTCATCGGAATCGTGCCTTTTAGCTGATTGCCTCCTATTGGGGGATCCTAGCTTGACAAAGCCTGCTGACGACTGGTCCTTGCTCTTCGCACTTGGTACATCGATTGCATGGGTCATCGTTTCCAAATCATAGAAATCATATCCCTCAGTGCTGGCGTGTGTACGCTCACTATCATGGCTCACAACAGAGAGGGGTTCGGAGTCCAAACGTTGCCTAGATGCAAAAGAGAAAGAATGCAACGCGGGAGGGAGACTGAAGCTGTCGTTTTCTACCACAGGAGTGAGCTTCTTCCCTGAGGCATACCGATACTGCAAGTCCTCGCCATTTCCGCCCTCTTGCACTTCGTCATCAACAGGTCGTGCTAGCGGAGTAGGAACATTGGATGTACTCTCGAATTCTTCAGATAGCAAGGATCGCATCGCTCCTGACTTATCTAGGCTAGAAGATGTTGGGGGTTTCCGGTGTGTCGCTCCGTCGTGGAGAGACGGTGCAGGCAAAATAACGGTTGGGCGAGCTGCAGTGGAGCGTAGTGTTGACCACTCTTTCTGTCGGTGCTCGAGGGAGTAATCCCGAAGTCGACCCGTGCGGCAATCCAGGTGATATTGTGCTCTCCTCGTCAGGAGTAGATTCATGGCATAAGCTAGGATGCGCCAAGTCTGCGCCAAACGAAAGAGGCTGACCTTTTCTGCAGCTTTGGCATAATGCTCAATGATTGTATTGACACGCTCCCCGAGAATGGGACCATTCTTTTGCGATGGGAGTAATTCGTATAAAGTTTCGAGATAGTGAACAGAGAGGTAGTGGTATATATTAACCTTCGCGCTAGATGGAACTGGGCCGATTGCCATGCCTTGTTGAGATTTGTAAAATCCGGTCACTTTGAGAGATGGTTCAAGGGCCAGGCTATGATCATCAGGGCCTCCCGGAGGAGTGGTGCTCAGAGTATGTGCTGAGCGTGTACTCGGTGTTCGCTTTCGCCGGCCCTTCCCACGAGACCTTAGAAAGCTCCCAACCACCTCATCCTCGGAGTCGCTCCTGCTAATGCTGAGCATAGGAGTCGTCGGGCTGGAGCTATATGATCCGTGTGATAACACTTCAGAGGGGGTGGTGATTGCCGGTCGCATACGTCGAGCAACGGGTCTCTCATCCAAGAACATGAGGACATCGCCCTGGGATGAAAGTGCCATGGTTGACACTGATGTGCGATCCATTACTTTAGGGGCGAATGCGATATCGAACTGATTGAAAAGTCCATCATGCCCAGCGGTCCATAGGAGATCCTGATCGTGCCATAGTAAAGCCGCTGGCGGGGCGTCGAAGTTCTGCAACTCTTTGAAAGGCAGCGTAGGTCTAGCCAGGTCCCAGATATGACACGCATTGATACCATGCCTCATCTGGCTACTGTCATCGTAGGTAACGGCGACCTGTGCCGTTCTTTTCCCTTGTGCGGTAGCTGACCAGGTGCCTGGTCTCCAAGCCACCGATGCGATCGGAGCGGGTGTGTTCAGTGTCCATTTCGGCTTCTGCCTCTTCTCAGCTCTTGAGGAAACGTCCCAGACAAAACACTTGTTGTCAGATCCGCCGCTGATGAGATGCTCGCCGTCGGGGTGCCATGCGATAGATGCGCACGCCTTCTCATGCCCGTTGATGCGTAGGATCGGAGCTGTTGATTTCCGGATGTCCCATTTCAGGACGACGCCCTGCTCGGTAGCGCACGCGAAGTAGAAGCCGTCCTTTGGCGACCATTTGACATGACGCACGCCTTCTGCGTTACATTTGAATGCCTGCACCGACCGGTATGTCAGAAAGCCTAGCTGCGACCTCTGCGGAGAGCGGATGTCGAAGCACCGAACAATGCCGTCCTGGCTGCCTGACAACAGGTATGTTCCACGATGAGGGTTGACATCGAGAGTATTCACTTGGCGAGAGTCCTCCCTCATCTGCACGACTTCCATCTGGCCGCCATCGGGGCCGCCCATACGCGCGAGATCATACTGGAAGATCTTGCCGTTGGCACAGGCAGTAAATACAGTGGTGTCGCCGCGGCCGGAGGGCCAATTGACATCCTTGATGGAGAGCTGGTCGGCGGTCGAGTTGACCTTGGACGAGGGCTGAGAGGTAATGGTGGCGCGCAGGTCGGTGCCCTCCTTGACGGTCAGACCGTCGAGCTTGACGACCTTGAGGATATGGCGGCCAGCAAGGATGGCGCATCGCCCATCAGGAGACTTTGCGAGGCAGGCGATGGGGACGCCGGCATTGAAGAGAGCGTTCTGGGCGGCGCTGGGGCGGTAGGCGGCGGGGAGCGGAGAGCTGGTGACGCCGACGGTGGTATCGTGGGAGGACTCGACGGTGGGCTTGCCCAGCAGCTTGCGCATGATCTTATCTCGGTTGTACATGGTGGCGGCGCGCGTCGTCGGGTGGTGACATGACGGTTGTCGCTATTTGCAGGCGCAGCATGCCTTGGGCTGCTGGGGACGCCGGAGAGATGGGCTATACACAGAGCCCAAGCAGCAGCGGAGTGGGACTATTTTGGGTGCGACAGAATCAATTGACAGCTGTCGTGATCATAATTACATGCGTCATGGTCACCAGTTGAGCGCTTCTACGTGATGGACGCTGGGAGAGCTGGCTGACGGACGGTGTATTCTGCCCCCGCTCACCGACTAGACTTCCAGGGGAGAGGTCCCTGGCTTCTTCGAGAGCTTGCCGACTACCGGTACTTAGGTAGGCACGGTACATGTACGCTTTTTACAGGGTAAGTGCCTTCTGCAAACAGCTGGACCAGTCGCTCCTCCCAAACAGAGCACTGGATACACGAGTGACGACAATACCTATCTCTGGACAGGTAAATTGATGATTTTGAAGGACACATCTTCTGTACCTTATTTCTTTCCAAACTGGGCCTGTATGGATTGATCTCCCAGATTGCTACGTTCACCCATCTTCTTTGTCTCTACAGACTTACGACGAGATTCGTGTCTATTTGACTTACAAGAAGATTTAGGCCACCGTGCCTGCCGGTGATTGACTGACTGAGCGCCTTTATTCAGAAGGTCCAACAAAGCCTCCAATACTCCCGGATCAAAAACTCCATCTTGACCCAATGCAGCTGTTTTCCGTATTTCAATCATACGTGCCTGGGATACGGCCTGCTAGGTATTCTACGTCAACTCCTCTCCTCGGAGGTTTAGCTCCTGACCGCTCCACTGCTCAGATATTTCCAGGTGCTTCCTTTTTGCATGCTCAGGCCGACGACAAGCTGAAGTGGACCAGAAAGTGGTGGGCAACTCCCCCAGATGGGAGCGATCGACACATGTTGCAGCCAAACAAAGCACTGTACTGTACTGTACATACATATAGTCTTTTGTCGTATGGTGTTCTGCTGCATCATGCCAAAGTTCCATCCCGCAGGGCAATTGTCGCATCGACTTTTCTAGAAGCCGCATCACGCAGTTCCATCATGCAGGCCGTACAGCTTCCACCAGATCCAATCGCGATCCAAATATTCCCACCCACCCAAAGGCACAATGGGGCACGGCAAAGCGGCAACTAGGGCTGGATGAGGGCAGGTCGGACATGGTGCTGATGTGACCCAAACAGCGCTAAGGCACGCCTGGCAGGACGGGGCCATCTTGGGCCTGGATCATCTGGAACCGCTTCTCGATACCTGAGACGACACCGTGGACCCCTAAGCTAGGCTGGCACCTCGCTAGGCTCATGCCAATGGGTATAACACCGGGCAGAAAGTTGGCAATGCCCCTTGAATCCTAAGGCTTGCTAAGGCTGGGGCTAAGCTGCGACTTCTACGCAGCTAGGAGGCGGCTTCAGTGGCTCGCCAATCGCCAAGTTCGACTTGGCTTCGCAACATTTCCTGTTCTCAAGCCGCTTTTGACGTCATGTACGCCGACGATCATCAGCTTTCCACCACCAAGCTCCCTAACAGAAGTGCTCCTTCAAGCTCCAAGCTCGTCAACAAGTTGGCACCTGATCCGTCGCACGCCCTCCCCCTCTCCGCGCCTGCTCGTAGCCGCGGAATGAGGGGCCTTTGCCCTTGCCATTGCCCCCGTTTACGTTTCATCTTACGAATTACACTACGATGGTCGAGTCAGTTCAGCCCTACCGGTCTATCTGGTCCGGCCCTGTTGGACCTTGACGCCGGCATGACGTACCCAGAGAATTGATGGTATGCCTCGTACAATATGCAGCCACTTCCTCTTCATCGTGATAAGCTGAAGAGCTCAAGAGCCTCAAACTTAAACTCAGCTTTCCTCAAGAAGAGCCTCAGCTTTTTTCCGTGTAGCTATTTTACCGAAACTCCATTCCGGACCTGAATCAATCTCTCCGAACAACCGACGACCACCGTTAGTTATTAGACTTCCCGTAGGAAACAGGGCTGGCGCCTACCTCATATGAATCTAAGCTGTCCGGCCGGTGATCTCCTAGTATAAGACCGACAAAGAAATCTCAACATACACATACCAAGGTACACCCTCCCGCTGTTTGCAACAAGGTCGACTCCCGGTCCGCCATGGCTGCTGCCCCAAGAGCCATCCTGCGCCTTGCGCGAGGCCGCCTAACAACATTGTCACCAACAGTTCGCGCAATTCCCATTCAAGCGACCGGTTTGCCTGCAAGGACCATGCACACCTCGCAGTCAGTACAACTCGCAAAACCCACGAACCCAGATCCAAAAAAGAATCCGGCGAGTGAGCTTGCCTTGCCGAAAGACGAAAATGTCGGTCGCAAGAGATTTGCCGACTTCAACCTGAAGGGCAAGGTGTTCATTGTCACAGGCGGCGCCAGAGGGCTGGGATTGGCTCTGGCAGAAGGGTTAGTGGAGGCAGGCGGCAAAGGTAAGCGCAAGCACTGCCTATTCTCAAGGGTGCGTACAGTGCACAGAGCCCCTAACACCTGAGCAGTATACTGCCTGGACCGCGCAGATGAGCCCGACGAGGAATGGGGTCAGGCCCAGTCGCACGTCGTGCCTGAATGGGGCGGCTCGCTGCATTACCGGCAGCAGGACGTCGAGGACACTAAGCACCTGGACGAGCTGATCACCGCCATTGCGGACGAGAACCAGCGCATTGACGGCGCAATCGCCGCGGCGGGTATCCAGCAGATCACGCCGGCCGCCGAGTACACGGCCGAAGACGCCGCTAAGATGATGGCCATCAACTATACCGGCGTTTTCATGACCGCCAGCGCCGTGGCGCGCCAAATGTTCAAGTACAAGATTCGGGGCAGCATCTGCCTCATCGCGAGCATGTCTGGCCTCGTCGCCAACAAGGGCTTGCTCTCGCCCGCGTACAACTCCTCCAAGGCGGCCGTTCTCCAACTTGCGCGGAACCTAGCCATGGAGTGGAGTCCGATCCAGGAGGACGGCACAGGCGGTATCCGTGTCAACTGCATCAGCCCAGGCCACATCCTTACGCCCATGGTGCTGAAAAACTTTGAGGAGGTGCCAGGACTGAAGGAGACCTGGGAGTCGGAGAACATGATGGGTCGGCTGGCAGAAACAAGCGAATTCAAGGGCGCCGCGTTGTTCCTCCTCAGCAGGGCCAGCAGCTTCATGACCGGCAGCAATATCGTAATTGACGGCGGACATACTAGCTGGTAAGATATGGAATGGAGTTTCGGGTTGCATCTAGTCGCATAACATATATATCTATATACCCGGGATAAAGAAAGGAGCTTGGAAAATGGCGAATACTGGACATATTATGTACATTTAGTTAGCATGATTACGTTGCATGAAAAACACTGATTATCCCAACAAGTGTGAATCGAATGGACTCAATATTTAGCAGTTCTGCAATGGCAACGTCCGAGGTGTTTGAGCTGTCTACCTTGCAATGGAGTTGTCAAGTATGCATTCAGACAAGTGTACGTCGGATTCCTTCCTTACTCCGCCTAATATAGCCGCGTTATTCTCAACCCTCCCGACCCTGGAAGCACGAGGCGTTCCTACTCTTAAGTTCAATCAGACGAGGTGCACTGAAGAACTCCGTATTTATTTGTCAGTGGTGTCATATCTGTTGAAAGTCAGTCTACAATTCCTGGTCAATGCGGTAACAGCAGGTGCCCCCTTGCCCTCTCCAGCTTCATATACATGGCCGAGTCGGATGGACAAACGTACCTAAATTGACAGCCACCTCCGTCGCAACACCAGCACAGGTGCAGTTCATCCACGGCCTCTTGACGCCGAACCTGCCCCAGATATCATCCGGTAGACGGTATGTAAAGCAACTAGCACAAGAGGTGCCGAATTTGCCGTCTTTACCATACTATTCAGGGGTCAACGGGTTGGAATTCTGGCGTTTACTAGAGAAGCAGCCTTGATAGAAAGCATCGTTCACATACCACTATTTTGCCATCCGAGTATCTGAAGCACGTGTTCAGGTCGAGCGTGGCGTTTGCAAAAGTGCCCTTGCCGTCGCCGACGTTGCACCTGGCACTGAGGACGTCGTTCGAGGCGTTGATAGTCTCGTTGACACAGCTCTGACCCCACTGTGCAGCAGTGCAGCCGATGAGTGTGAGCACGACAGCGTTTGTTTTCATCTTACTACGGTGGATCGACAACGAAGTAATCTATGGCATATTTGACAAGAGCGGGAAGAGCGCCGCAGGAAGGTAGCTCATATATCATATTAGACTTGTCTAAACACAAACAGCCCCATCATGGATATGGAAGTGCGATCTGAGATTGGGTGGGACTTCATTTACACGACTTCTTTGAGGTTGCACCTGAGTCGCAAATGGTCACTGACACGGAACTCCAGAAACCAGGATGCTGGGGTCGATCCTGGAAAGATCAATAACAAAGCCATCATAGTGTGAGCGTCCGAAGCTTTTAGTCAAAGCAGAGAGGAGAGTGTGCGCTTCTCTCACAATACAGCAACGTAAGTCGTCCAGAGCAAGATGTCAACGGGGGCTTTAATTTCAAAGTCATTCAATGAATGCAGCTAGCACTGACACCCTCATGCAGCTTTAGATAGGCTGTTCGGTAATGTATAGTACCCCTCGTTTCAGACGCTCCAATCAGCCTGCCAATGACAGCTCCGTGGGGTGTCACTCGGACGGTTCTGTTATTTAAGCAGGCTCAAGTGACATTTGCGGGGAAGGAACAAGTTTGGTGGCGGCCCTGGTGTTAATATCGAGAAGTCACATCGTTTCAAGAGCGCCTTACACATGCCATGATTTGATGTTGATGATGGGAGCATTTGTCATGCTGGTTGACTACTGCCGTGGCGAGGTTTGACCTGTGCTGCTCATTCGCAAAGCGAGGTCGAGGACAATGTAATGAAAGCGTAAGGATACTGGGCTTCCAAGGCGACGATGTCCAAAGTAGGTGACGAGCTAACGTAGAGGCTCTTCATATCTTGTTCATTCCGTGGTATCGCGAAGTGTAAGGAGTTACATAGAGGTATAGAGTTGCGTCGGCACCAAAAAATGCACACATAGAATCAGATATTTTACTCAAACGTCAGCGCAGCGATGCTCCCGGGGAAGGTCTTCACGCTGCCGTCCCCAGCACCAGCCTCTCCACCGTACTCCTTCGGCAGCTCCTTCTCATTGAGACCACTTCCAACGAACTCGGCCGCAAGATTGCCTCCGTTCGCCATGGGGTGGAACTTCTTGCGAGTCTTCTCCGCGACGAACAGCTTCAGCACACCGTACAGCCATCCCATGACGGCGGGCACGTTGACGAAGAACTTCTCCTGTGGAATATGTTAGAGGCGACTCTGCTTGATAATCGTGAGACTTGCCTTCAAAAGTTCGGGATAGGCCAGGGCAAACTTCTTGATGACCTCGGTGCTAGCAGCCCTAACGTTGGGGTTCTGTCGGAAGAAGCTCACGTTCTTGTAGTCGTGAACCTGGATGATCTTATAAGGATCCTCAAACTCAGAAATTCGCTTAGTCGCCTCGGAAAGCTTGAGTTGCTGGATGCCGAGCTCTTGCAGGGCGATACGATAGTCCATAAAGCTAAGCTTGGTATTAGAACACCATGCCATCAAAGATGAGCTTAGTTGCTGGAAGGGAGAACCTACTCTTCAAGCGGCACGAAGACCTCATCCATCCGGTCCTTGACATTGCCGTAAAAGTTCCAGGTGAAGACCTCAGGGATCGCGCTGTCCTTGACCTGGTAAGTGGTCACGGCGCCAAGCTGGCCAAACTTGGATGCACTGAAGGTTTTCTTCAGGAGATCAAGGGGCTTCTTCTCCTTGCGGAACTTCAGAGCGCCGGTGAATTGCTCAATGGCCTTGGTAAGGTCACCTTCGTTCGCGTTCAGGAACTTCTGGAGGATAATTGCCGTGGGAACATGGGTCTCATCAACAAGCGTGACGCCCCACATCTCATCATGGCCGACCTCTTTGAGAATGTCCGGAAGCTTCTTTGCAAAGTCCGAGAAGGGCGTCTGCACTTTCGGAGCAACCGAAGGCTTGTCCGCCGTAGGCTCCGTCACAGTCTCCTTCGTCGGCTCAGACTGCGCAGCGGGCTCAGCAGGCTTCTCGCTGGTCTCAATTGGCTTTTCACTGGCCTCCGGTGCCGGTACAGGCTCCGGCGCCGATGCTGACGCGGCGGGCACGCTGTCCTCCTTTGGCGCCTGCGCCGTCTCGGCTGGAGCTGGAGCTTCCTCGGTCACTGGGGCCGCAGCCGCCTCAGTGGGGGCGACTGGCTCAGCGACCGGGTCGGCCGGTGCAGCAGGCTCCGTCTTCACGGGCTCCTGTTTTGATGAATCGGCCATGGTTGGGTGGCTTTTTGATGAATGGTGGAATGGCCTTCAGGAAAGCCGTTGGGGTGTAATTTTAAATTGATAGGGGGTCGGGTTGCCTGGCCAAACAAAATTTAGCGGTGCCCGGAATAAACATCCCTTATCAATCCGATCTAATCTCTTGGCATCTTCAACGATGTCGACTTTAATCTAATGCAGCAGTACCAAATGGTTTGTCGCCTTTGATTTGTATGATCAGACTCACGGTCTTGGGCAAGTACGCCTAACTAAAGCGAATTTGTAAATCGAAGCAAATATTCGAAGCAAAGAACGCAGGTCTCTTGTTCTGGCCTACCCCTTGTATTCTGCCCTATTCGACCGCCTGCGCTGTGCCGCAATGTTGATCATCAACGATCCTACCAGATATGTCCTGCTATCATATTTTCACCTGACTGAGCACAGTGGTGACTTATCGTGCATTTTCCCCAGGAAGCGTATGCAATTCTCCTTCAAGACGTTGAACAAGATATAAATGTTGCGGGGCGCGAAATCCGAAAATGGCGACCTTCTGGGACTCATACATTAAAGCCACACGGCCAATAATGTCACTCATTGCTGGACCGCTTGGAGATGTTCTGCCCGCGTTCGTGCCCCAGAAAAGAGGCTTCGCAAATCTATCGTAGGCTGATGTCTCATCCTGCAGTGCATACAAGCGAAACATTTTAGATCCAAACTTCAAGCTTGAGATGTACCATAAGACCGCCAAATCTCAACAGGAACAAACGACAGCTAGCCATGGGTGAGATGAAAAGCCGGTTAAGTTGTTGCTTTACAGACTGATGGCGAGAAGAGACTCGGAATGGTATCGATACGAGCCCCTAGAACCAAACCAGATTCGCTTAGTGCATCTTCACGCAGGCACACCAATGTCACCTCTTCAATGCTCTCTGACAAGTCATACATTGAATGATCATTTAGTGTTTGAGGCATTGTCGTACACATGGGGCGATCCCCGAAATGTCAGTTATATCCATTGCGACAATAAAGCCATCCAAGTCACTCGCAATTTGACAGACGCGATGATACACCTACGACGAGAGACCGAAGAGCGAACTTTCTGGATCGATGCTATATGTATCAATCAAGGCGATGTCAACGAGCGAAGTGTCCAAGTTCAGCTCATGGGTCAGATATATAAACAAGCTACATCTGTCCTAGTATGGCTGGGAAACCCTACAGAAGACAGCTCGTCTGCATTCAATCTGATGGACCAATTGCACAGACTAGCTAAAGAGACAGCAGTTGAAGACCTCGACAGGCCAATCCCCAAGGAATCAGATTTGCTCGAAACGCTTCCCAAAGTCAATGATCCAGCTTGGAAAGCACTTGACTCGCTTCTTTGGCGGCCTTGGTTCTCGCGGGCCTGGATCATTCAAGAGATAGCCATGTCTCGCTCAGCGAGAGTGTTTTGCGGAGATGACAATATCTCCTGGCACGACTTCCTTGTCGTGATAGACTTTCTGAATCGTCGTTTTCTCACATTTCTTGTAAATCTGGATCTGGGTGTCGCATATCCTATCAGAGCAATATACTACTACTGCCGTGGCGAATCCTACCGACCGCTCACGACGCTGCTTTCTATGGCTCGCCGCTCACTGGCTGGCAATCCGTGTGATAAAGTATATGCACTGCTTGGACTGGCCTCAGATAGCCCTATCATACCGGACTATCGGTTGCAAGTAACCGAAGTATATCAAGCTGTTAGCAGGACTCTATTGTTGCAATCTTTGGACGTACTTAGCCTCGTCGGTCCGCCTCGATGGAAAGCAATCGATGGTCTTCCCTCATGGGTGGTAGACTGGTCTTTAGCCCTGCTAGAACGACCATATCTTTTCTCCAGTGGCAGGCGGTTTAATGCGTGTGGCTCGACGACCCAGTCGCCTCGCTTCTCGGCTGATGGGAAAAGTCTGTTTGTTCAAGGGGTACTGTTTGATCGGGTAGCGCTCCATGGCACCACAAACATCAATCCGAATGTAACCTCCGATGCAGGGTATGCTGGGGTGAGCACAAGAGGATTAGGTGAAATGTGGGACGGTGCATTCAGCATTACCACTGTTCGCAGATTTCGGTACTGGGAGCGACTAGTCCTTCGTTTGAAATACTATCCCACAGGGGAGCCGATCGAGAGTGTCTTACACAGAACAATGATTGCAGATTACCTAGGGAACATGACGGACTCCCTTGCCACTGCGTCACTGGCGGAGCATTACGGAGCCTTTCGCCGCCACACAGTCAAGTTTCCAGGGGAGAAAGTCCAAATCGGAAGCATAACTGGCGAGTTAGGAGAAAATTACAATAAGATATATAGTGCGGCGACTACCAGTGCTACAGTTGGGAGGAGACTATTCACAACAAAGAAAGGATATGCTGGACTTGGGCCCTCAGCTACCCGTGTGGCGGACTGTGTGGTGTTTCTTGCGGGCGGCCGCACAGCATATATCGTCAGAGAGGAGAAGGTGCCAGGCACTTACACATTCTTAGGAGAGGCATATGTTCATGGCATTATGGATGGCGAGGCTTTCCAGGGCCGGTATACGTTGCAGGAGTTTCAAATAGTGTAATGTCATCTTCAGATCGGACCAAAAACCATGACCAAAGGTGTACTAACATTTGTTAACTGAATCTATATAATTACTCATGCATGAGGAAGCATTTGCAGCCAGGCTGGTGTCCAGTAGACTGCAATTGGCACTTTTCTCAAGCTGATGAATGACTCCACTACAATGAAGAGTCTGGCACACGCGTACATCATCAACATGATATACCCAAGGCCTGCATACATTTTCGACGTCACGGAATACATATATTCCTCTTTCGTGCTATCCCCCCAAATGTATTTGTTCTCCAAAATATGCCGAGAGGAACAACTATAGATGCCAGCAATGGAAAGCTTCCAAGTATAGTGAGACAAGAAATTCTCCACAATAGATGTTCCTGGTTTGTTGGAAACTGGAAATTCCAGGCACTCATGTGTATACCTCCGTATATGGCTGGAAGCACCACGGCGAGTATGCTCAACCATGGCATTAACAGAAGCATGTCCAACAATAAGAATGAGCTGTGACGCTTGAGAAAAATATCGAAGTTAAACTTAAAGTTTCGGCATGGGGAGAGACGCGGGACAACTCCATCATGTTTAGGTATTAGTATCTCACCAAAATTGGCCAAGATACTTGTCTTTTCGAGTCCAGCTGCAACTGCATTCAATCTCAACAAGGCTTGCTTTCTTAAAGGTGGAGGATGCGGGCGGCGCCATGTACGTGCTTGGTGGAAACCGATGCCTTTTTCGGTCATAGAATTCGGAGGCATGTTTCCAGGCGTCGAGTCAAAATTCTGAAACGTTAATACTTTTGGCTTATCGTCTGAAGACAATTGCGGAGAGACCGTGTGTCTAGTAAGGTCCCGGCTTTTGTTCGTATAGAATGATCTCTGCACCATAAGTCCAAGCATGGAATCCCATGCTGCATCAAAGACCACTTCAGCATCAGGAACATCTAGAGGCTTCTGACTAGTATGTTAGCCAATCAGTGTTTCATAAATGTAACTAATGCCATCCTGTCAATGTAACTGCCCGCTTGGTAAGGAATCCTCTACTTTAAAAAGGCTGGCTATAAAAGGTTTCGATTTTCAAAGCCTTGTCTTCAGAGGCTCAGGAGGGTCGCACCCACCTGAAACCAGAACATTTACAATCCGATAGCACAGATAACATGTACCATAGTATGGATCTCGAGGAGTGTGAGAGTAAGACCAAATGCTTGGCGAGTAATGCATGTCAACATCATGTATGTGACCTGCAGAAGGACGAGTGTCTTTTGAAGGCCGTTTGCTTTGCTTTTGTCATTGATTTTGTCACCGGGGATATAAACCCAGTGGCCTTGCTCAGTAAGATCTACGACACCTCTTGGTGTCAACTGAAGCCGCATCCTTGGGTTGAAAGTAGGTGAATCGGTGTCAAGACTTTTAAGAAGACTGTGCCAGTCTCCGTCACAGTCCTCTAGGGTTTGAAATTTTGCAATGTTCTGCGCCTCAATTTGGATGCCCCCCATTACGACGAGAAAGGCGTATTTCATATCGAAGATAAACTGCATATGTTTGAGTGTACTTTCATATAGACTTGTGGCAATGATATGTGCTTACATTTTTATCTACGTTATGGCTTCTTAATTGCGCGGATTGAATGGCTTGTTTGAATTCACGAGCTTGGGAGAACTGTTCGGCAGCCATGTATAGAATGAGCTCAGGAGCCAGGCGAGCCAGCACGACCCATCTCAATTTTGACACCAGAAGGCTGGAAAAGTCAGATTTCGCGGGTACATTAAGATGTAGAGCGGTGTAAATGCACGCCACTAGGGTGATCACAAAGCTCGGGATAATAGATCGTTGTCGGTTTCACTGCAATTTTAGTCTCATCGAAGACCTCTCTGCAACAAGACTAGACCACCAAACCGTCTTGGCATACTAGCAGTAGATTTGTCCCTGGAATTCCGGGGCTGAGACCCAGGACGGCGCGTCTATTATCTTCAAAGCCGTCATGTTTGCCTTGTTCGTGTGGATGACTGCCCAAGTCCCGTCATCACAGCTACTGTTAGCTCTGCAGTGACAAAAGAGAGCCCCGCTAAGCCTAGTAGTAAGCTCCCTAACCCCTGACAGGGGCCAATGCAGTATAATATGGTGCGAGAGCACCCCAATTCTCTTTTGTATGATCTATATAGTTCAATGAACTTTCCATTACCCAATTACATGCTCGTACGCGCTCTACGGTCCGTCACATCTGCAACATGTCGCTACAAGTGCTGCAATGACCGTCCGTAATGTGTGTAAGTGTTAAGCATTGAATGTCATTTACGGTGTTGGGTCGCCCAAGCCCTACGAGTTATGAACTGTAGGACAACAGGGAATGAGGGCAGTATTTGGTTGGGGGGCTTTGGACAGAGTCTTCGAGGTTTTAAAGAGAATTCCTGGTCCTGGGCAGACTGGCGAGAGTGGCAGTAATGTCCCGCCGAGGCTAGGTGTCTTGGCACATCAGCTTCGCCCCCGCCACCATTCGCTCTGAAAGAGGTTATCCAATCATACAGAGGAAATGAACGTAACCTACCTCTTTTTCTGGTTAAAAGACAGTGAACTGCTAGCTCAGCTTCTTGAAGCAAGAGTGGCTGAAGAAATTGTGAGCAGTCAGCCCATACCTAAAATCCAAGCCTATAGAAAGAAGTGTCGGGAACGTTATTCACACCCCTACAATAAGGCCGTGTTCATTTGCGAGGTGACTATGAAATATCTTATCTGGATATGAGAGGCTCATAACTTAATTATTTTGAATTATCTTGTGAAAAGTAAATTAATCTCCTTCGTTTATATATCAACTCGAGTTTAATGGCTGCGATCAGCAATGACAATTAATGAAGTGATGGAATCAGATGTCGAGGCACCAAAAGCTGTTATTAACCCTGAGAATTGCGGATCCGAACATGTCGCGATAAACTCAGTTTGGAGAGTCCAAGACATCTAGAGGTATACCTATTGCCTTGCACTGTTCCCTCTCGGGAAATGGAACCTGTTTACCATTCCACTGCAGCAATCTTATAGTAGGTTTCTCAGGCGTGACCGATAGCCATTTCCCTGTCAAGTGAAGTTGTTCCAGGGTATTCAAGTGGCCTCGTGCCACTAGATAACCTTCATCTGCGTTCGGATCTCCGGTCCTCGCGAAAGAAGCCCAGTAGTCAATGACGAGTTGCATGAATGGGACATCAAAGCCATCTCTAGCAGGCTGCCCCGCTCGGAGCTCATTTCCAAAGACGACCAATTGCTCTCCGGCGTGACACTTATAATACTCAGCATCTGGGTCGCCATGTGGCCGAGCTGAGGTCTTGGGGGCGTCACACCAAGGCTTAGTGTAGCCAGATGGACTATATGTGCGGTTGAATTCGAAAGCATACATCGATTTGAAGGCGTTGTGCTTCGCCGCGGAGTACGCTTTAGCTAGATCAAAGCAGGTGAATACCCCATCGGTCGCAATGCGCAGTGACGCGTTGAATATTTGCTCAGGGGTAGAGTTCTGTGCTGCTGCGAAGCTATCAAGCGACAGGCTTGGCGCAAAATCCGTGCTTAGCCCAAAGGTTCCTCGGACATGGGTTTGGAAGTATTTGGTAAAGGTTGTACCATTTTCTGGGTAGTTGTTAACCTGAACGCCAACTTCGTCCCTGTTAACGCCGGTCATGACATCGACATTGTTCGAATAATAGTTCGTTTCATTGACGACCAACTCATGGTAGGTCAGATACGTGCCGTCAACTACAGCACCACTATTTTGGTTAGGTTGTTGAACCTTTTCTGTTTTCCAACAAGGTTAACAACTTACTTGAAATTTGTAGTGAGATTAACGAGATCAAACCCAGATATTTTGCTTAAACAATCGATTTGTGAAGCTGTACTAGTATTGCTTGGTAGCAGGCAGGCCGTCTCATTCAACACTTTCTTAGTCCCATCCTCGTATGCGTCCTCGATTGCAGCATATTGAGACCATGTGAATTTGCCATTATTTGGATATCCGGTGGGATCGGATTGCATGATGGCCCGGTGGAAAAGTCCCTTGGCCTTGAGCGAGGCGAGCAGCAGGTGTGTCGCCATGGCTCCGGCAGACTCGCCAAACACAGTCACCCTCCCAGCATCGCCGCCAAAATACTTGACGTACTTGTTGACCCACTCCAGTGCTGCCACCATGTCTGAAATCCCGTAATTCCCGTTGTGTACCCCGTCGTTGAAAGCTAGGAAGCCAGTATTACCCACACGATAATTTACCGAGAGTACCACGGCATCACCGCGAGAGGCCAAATTCGTACCGTCAGTGTTCGGATTCTTGCCTGATCCGGAGGTGAACCCGCCTCCATAGAGATATACCATGACGGGTTTCAGTTGAGCTTCTTTGGCACCAGACATGGGGGGTAGATACGGCGTCCAGATGTTCATAAACAGACAGTCCTCGCTGCTGCCAGACGTCACCTCACCGATAGGCTGTACGCAATCTGCACCTGCAGTGATCGCCATCACATCGCCGTCCTGCAGATACGGAGCTGCGTAGGTGAAGCGCTCTGGTGTCTTTGTATATCGTATCCCGCGAAACTTCCAAGTGTGGTAGTCCCTGTATCCAGTGAACTGAGACTGGTCAACAACTTGTGTTACTTGCCATGCAGCACTGCTGTTTGAGAAGGAGGAGTTGGATATTGGTGCGCTTTGGGTGCAGAGCGTTGGGATCTCGCTGAGACAGTCGAGATCTTGGACTTGGCCTTGGGCGTCAATGCCTCTACAGGTGTCATCCGCTTCGTCAGCCTTGGAAACCCAATATAGCTGGTCCTTTGTTGCAAGCCCTTGATATTCTTGGTATATTAGAGACCTGTTAAGAGCTTTGTCGAAATCATTCTTGTCCGGATTCCACGGAACCTCTCCCAGAAGAGTACATGCCGTGCTGGCAGCCGAGTATGGACTTGCTTGGCTAACGAGGATGGCCCCTGACCCATCATTCTGCGCGGCTGTTGAAGAGTTAGCAGCGACGTCACGGTCATATCATTCATATCTTACCATCTAGGTCGTTGCGAGTTAGGATTGTGAGGCCACCTCCGAGAAAGAGTTGGTGTGCTGATTGTGCCGCGTTAGAGCCGGTAGCCCATATGCCGATACTTACTAGCAGCAGGGTATACCAGGCCGAGTTAGCTGACATAGATCTCGCCAACATGCTGACAGCGTATCACGGGGTGGCACTTGGAGCGGATGATTCAACTTCGGACCTCTTGGCTTTGGAATTTTGGTTGAAAGTTTGCACGTCCTGATGTAGTGAATAAAAAACCAAGGCCTCACTCTCAACCTTGAGTTGCACGGATCTCCAGCATGCCGTCCAAATTGATGACGGCATGTACATTGACTATCCCGGTCGCGCGAATATGCCTCCGTGACTTGGCTCTTTTTGGGATGCGTTGCATCCCGCCTCATGGATCATTAACATGGCTGTACCTGGCATGCCGTCTTTTGCCTAATACGGCTGCCTCCACGAAGCAACTCCATCCGGATGTGGTGCACAGACCGAAAAGTTTTCACCAGAAACAAAATCCCTTGTCTGGATGAGAGAGATGGGTAGTTTATTAGGAAGTCTAGTCAACTTTACAATGATGATACATGAAGAAGCCTGCAGATTTCAGGTCGCTATACGGTCTCTAGGGCAGACGCCATCCGGCCATGGCGGGATTCTTGGTAACAGCGAGAGCGACCCAGCCGCCAATCAAGCACAGACCGCCCAGCGGTGTGACGGGCCCCAGCGGCTTGAAGTGGTCGGGATCCAAGACGAGGGCGTAGATGCTGCCGCTAAACATGGTCATCCCGGCAGTGAAGAGACCGCAGGCAACGGGGTTTCCACGAGCCACAAGCATGACTCCGGAGTGAATGAGCTATGAACGCTTAGAAATATGAGAAATGGCGTCTTCTGAGGGAATGGCTGTACCTGATACTGTGCTGCAGTGACCCAATTGGCGATTTTCTGAGGGTCGGAGATGCGATTCTTTAAGCCGTGAGCTCCGAATGCTCCCAGGCCAACTGCCGTAGCGCCGAAAACGGCTCCAATCCTCCAGAAAGTTGCAGCGCTCATTGTCTCTTGGCTTTCGAAGTCCTGCTCACGCTCAATAGGTTCGTCTTGAGGGAGAAGGGGCGCGGATTCGAGGTTGGGCTGTTCACTGGGCATGGGGCCGTTGGGTTGTTTGATGTTTGGAGGATGTTGACCTGATCTCAGCTCCACTCTCGCGTCTCGGCTTCTGGTGTTTAAGGTCCACTAACTTCGGCTGCCAAGCTCCTCGGCGCCGCGCTGTTACTACTGAGATAAACAAACATCGAACAAAATTTTGAGACTGACATTTTCGAGCAACATCATGGCTGCGATACCAAAATCTTGATCATTCATGTTACTGAATAACCTCATTTTGTATTGACTGACCTCCATTGCAGCATCCCAAAGACACATGACTAGATCTTTACCTAATTCACTATCGCCGTTACTGGACGCTGTTGGCCTCAGGATCGTCACCCGCTGAGTTCAACGACAGGACACCACTTCCTACAGTAGGTATCCAAATACTGATACAAGACTCCCTATAGCCTACAGATTTCGAGTCGATGTCGTACGTTAGCGTTGTAAAGTCAATAGACCCGGCCGGTACGGCAGCTTGCCGTAATCACCACTGGATCCTGGGGCTCGTCCCTGATAGAGCAGTTGCAAGTTACACGGATCCACGGTCATTGTCTGGTCCGGGTTGCTACGAATCAGATCGCCATGGCTGATATCATTGGTCCAGGTAGCACCACTATTCGCCTTGCCAGCGAAGGGCTGACCTTCGCTCGAGGCCTGCGGTGTCCACGAGCCGCCGAGGCTTGTGGCCGTAAAAGAGCGGAAGTACCGCCCATTTGCTCCAATTGCTTCGACAATCATGAGATATAGGCTTTGGCCCTTGACGGTGTACACTTGAACTGCCTCGAACAGGTTATTCGACGTGTCGCTCAAAATGATTGTTGATGCGGTTCCGAAGTTTCCCGGGAAATTCCCAATGGGCATGCTGGCCCGGTATATCTTCCCATTGTCTCCTGCAAAGAAGAGGTACATATTCGTGCTGTCGCCGATTACGGTTTGGTCAATGCAGCCAGTGCTGGACCCGGTGATGGTCCCAGAGAAGAGCGTTTGTGCCGATGACCATCCGTTTGCATCAACAGGACTACTTGCAGTTCGGTAAGAAAATGCGGTCGGGCCCCATTGGTAAGCAAGCACCCAGATACTTTTTGGAGCAAAATAGAAAAGTGTTGGTGCAACGGTGGCCGAGTTCATCTTATTTTGACTCGCCGAGGCGATATCAGTCCAATTGGTGAAAAGACCAAAGTTCATTGAGCCCCAGCTCGATCCCGTATCATGATACGTGGCATATACGAGAGTCTGGCCATTGTAGGGGACGGCCGTGAAGTCTTTGAGCGAAGCCCATCCTGATTTCGGAGTTGCTAGTGAGCCAGTCGATGTCCAGCGGTAGGTTGATGGAAGAGCACACGAAGCTTCCGATTGCGCCACTACAAACGCCGCCGAGATTAACAACACGAGTCCAGTAGACACTAGACTGAGTGTGGGTCCGCTCAAAGCCATCGTCATGTTTGTTCTGAAAAGATCAAATGTGAAGATCATATCCAACATTCAAGCAAGGGCACCCAATGTCCGACTTATATAACCATACTCGACACGAGCGCGTAGATGTCCGGACATAATTGACCCGGGCAAAACTTGTGGTGGATGGGATAAACCGCCAGCTCGAATAGTAGATTTCGGGGTGAGCTTCCGAGTTGGCCAGCTGTGTTGTATTCGAGTTGCGCTTTCATTTAAATTGATTAATATAGGCGCTTATGGCCAGGATTGGATGCGCTTCAGTGGGACCTTGGCGGTTCCTTAGCCTTTGCCTTGGGTTACTTTTAGTACAAACAGCAAACCGCTATTCAATCTCTACAGACCACGCTTGGACGATGAAAAGCTACAAAATGTCAATTCTTAGTGGTGCGCATATTGACATCGCGTTTTTCAGGAATGAGTGGCTGTTCAATTCCCACTACACTCAAGAGCGGACTGATGGAAGATGATATCATCGAATGTCCGCCAAAATTCGAGGAAAGAAAGATTATGTGATGTTGAGCCTCAAAATGTCATCTTACGGACACGGGAGATTCAGAGGATGCTGCGAGCACTGTATGGTCGTGCGTCAAGTGAGAGGAAGGGGGGCGGTGAGCAGTTCTGTTCGAAATGCTTTTGCTGTGCCATTCAGGTGTTGTACTTGGTGTTGAAACTGACTATTCTAGGTACCAGTGCCTCAATTTAATTCCCGGTGACTTCACTCAAAGATCTTATTGAGCACCTTGTCCACCTTGCCAGGAGTTCTCGGTATGTGGGCAGCTTCATAGTTGTCAATCTCTTCCTTCATTCCACCAAGACTGAGGTCTGCCGACCCCGGACGAACGTATTTGCTCCTGAAAACTAGCTTCCAGAAGACGAACGCAATGATGAAGAATGCAATCATGCCATAATCTAAGAAGAACCACATCACGTCCCAACCACCTGTCAAAAACAAGTCATACCCTCCCGCCAGGAGCATAAATAGAGTCCCGCCCATGGCAAAGTAGGAAGTATATGGCTGAAATCGTCCTTTATAGGGAAGAGTGTCTCTGGAGATCCCCTGGCTTTTGAGCGAAGAGAAGAAATGTCGGTATGTCAACGCTGTGAAGCCGTAATTGATTAATTGGCAACAGGTAACAAGATCGACAAGATAGGTCATCACTTTGGCGGATGAACTGTTCACTTGCAAGAAAGCGAGTAGACAGAATAGGAGCGAGAACAAGAGAGCCCAGATAGGAACACCTCCCTTGGTACACCATGAGAAGAAACGAGGAGCATGGCCTTCAAGGGACATGCCGTGTAAAGTGCGAGTCGCCGCGAACAACAACCCGTTGCCAGCACTAAATATAGATGTCATAATGAGCGCGTTGACGAGATGAGGCAAGCCGTGGATCTTCAGTCGTTGCATTGCAATGACATAAGGTCTTGTGTGTTGTTAGCACTATTCAAAGATAGTTAGATCATGTACTCACGATGCAGCACCAGTGCCAGAACCGGATAAATCACCCCCAAGAATGCCTAAGAGTGTTGAGTCGTTGTAAGGGATAACAATTCCCATACACAGAGCAGAGCCAACGAAGAATAGGAGAATACGCCAAACAAAGGACCGAAAGGCGGGAGGTAGGATCTTGCGAGGATTTTCTGTCTCAGCAGCTACCATTGAGATGTACTCCGGGCCGCAGATACTTGATTCTGTTAGCACTCAACACTCTGAAAACGAAAGTCAAACACTACTCACGAGAAACTGGCTTGGTATATGCACGAAAGGATACCCAGGAATCTACCAGTGTTTCCAGAGGAGAGGTGCTCGACGAAAGCGCCTGGGTTATTCCAATACCTGAAACCGTACCGATCATGTAGAGGGTTTCCACCAAGCATCGTGATGAAGGTGAACATGAACAGTCCCAACATCAGCAGCACTTTGAATATCGATAGATAAAATTCGGAGATACCAAAGTATCGTACTGTGGCGACATTGAGAACCGCATAGAGAACAATCATCGCGACAATAATAGCCTCGACTGGGACCTTGTCTGTCCAGAATGTAATCATAATGTTCATGGCTACGATCTCGAACGGCACCAGAAATGCCATGTTGAGAAAAAAGTTCCACGCCATGGCAAAGCCAAGGGCTCCATCCACCCATTCGCTACCGAAACGTATGAAAGGCGAAGGCACAGGAAGGAAAGTTACCATCTCAGCGAAGCACTCGTTTACTGCCCACATGACTGCGCCCCAGATGAGGAACGCGATGAACAGTCCTGCAGGGCCGCCTTTGGGAAGAGCAGAGCCCATCTGAACGTATAGAGAGGTACCAATCGCTCCTCCAATTGCAAAGAGCTGAACTTCCTTCCCCCGCAACTTCCGATGTAAAGCTTGTGAACCAGAGGTTACATCCGATGTTCCCTGCGCTAGATCATCGCCGGTTCTGAGAGATGGCTGAGTATCGACAGACTCAGGAGGCGGCCCCTTCTCAGGATATTTGGCTGCCGACATCTTTTCCGTGGTTGAGGTTTAGAAGACTCGGATTGCGAACGAATTTCCCTAAAAAAGAAAAAGATAATTACAAAAACTTGTCAGCTTTGCAAGAAGGAGCCTTGCAGCATAACATGCAGATCAGCATCCTGCATGGTCTTTGTGCGCTTAAAGGAGTCTTCGTGCTCCGCTGTGACTGTATACCTAGCAACGCAACCCTGCTAAGCTCTAAGAGAAGGTTCCAAACTACGTTGCCTCAGATAAGACCAATGAGCATTGTAGAGCATAAGCAGCCAATGTCTGCTTAACGGAGATCAGACGGAAGGCTGTTGTCGGACGCTAGTCCGACAATATCCTGAGTGGGGGTTCCTTATCGTGCATCTACGACACCATCACCAATCGGCTGTCCCGATATGGGCTCGGCGTTCAGGTTACATTGAGGGAGACAGTGAACGCCGAGGTGACTGGCACTAGTTGGACTTGTCTCCCAATTTGATGGGGCAAGTTTTCTTGGCAATCAAGTCGGTGATGATAACGGGATGGTGATACCGGTATGACCGGTGATGTCCTGGTTAGTCTGTCTGGAGAAGCAATGCCAAGTTCACAAAGATCTGGGAATGAAAGCACGGAAGCAATAGTCTAAGTTGTTGTATTGCTTTGTTGCCAATATCTTCAATTCAGCTAAATAACTTTGAAATATCCGTTCTCCTCTCAAGATCACAGCTTTTTAAGACTTGTAACTTCCATTGGACAAAGCCTCCTCGTATTGTAAGTGAGGTTGAAACTCAACGAAAAGAGTTTCCTGAGCTCGTCAGTAAGTATCTCCAAAGCAGTGAGGTTTTGCTTACCGGTGTGCTTGCCATTTTGAAGTTGTATGCCGCTTCTTCATCACTTACAATGTGCTTTTCATGACCCGCCCTGTCAGCCAGCAATTGAACTTTGCAGCTTCTTTCCATCAGGCAAAACAGGAAAGCCGCTTCATCCACTGTCTGTCCAACTGTAAGCAGACCATGATTCATCAATATAACGGCCTTGCCATCCCCCAGACTCTTGGCAATTTTCTCTCCTTCTGAAGTTTCATTTGCAATCCCACCATAATCTGAGTACACCGAGTGAGCCTTGTAGAAATAACAGACGTCCTGGTTGATCATCTCCAGCGGCTTTGCGAATGCAGACCACGCTCGTCCATGCACCGAATGCGTATGGCAGATGGCATGGACATCTTCCCGCGAGCGGTGCACGGCACTGTGGATCTGAAAGCCAGCAGCATTGATCGAACCATCTATATTTCCGCCAACAACTTCGCCGTCAAGATCTACGCAGATCATGTCGCTAGCTTTAAGCAGTCCAAAGTGTACTCCAAGAGGATTTATCCAGAAACGATCTTTGTATTCTGGATCTCGCACACTGATGTGCCCTGAGATGCCCTCGGCGTAACCCTCGCGTGCAAACACACGAAAGGCGCCGGCCATGTGCTCGAGCTGCCACTGGCGCTTCTCCGTATGAGTGGTAAACTTCGGGATTCCAGGGAGCCGTTTGCCTCTGTGGGCCATACCAGCCATTGCGTCGACATCTTTGGTCTTGGAGGAAATCGAGGGGGAAGAGGATGTCAGGTCTGTAATTGCAGATGGCGCCATCACGATCGCACGATTATGGTCAGGCTAGGATAAACAACTAATAACAGCCCAATCTCGAAGAATTAGGTTGTTGAAGATGACTGAATTTAAACGGACTCAGTTAGAGTGTGATTGGAGCTAATATCGTAATATTGAGCCTTCAGTGTTCGAAGGCTAGAATAGTAATATTTCGAAGCTATCTTGACCCTACATTGCCTATACCAGTCTCCTCTACGGTTGTCGCATTTGCCACATACGTTACCAAAGTTGACGGAGATAGTGACCGTAATACTGAAGCATCTAACGGTCGGAGGATCCGAAATTTGTCAAAGCAACCATAGGACGGGCGATGAAACATTCGTTGACGGAGAAAGTATGTACAAACAGTGGGACATATCTACGTGCTGGGTGGTACATCTATGCCAAAATGGAGAGCAACGCAAAGCTAATGAGTGTAAAGTCAATTTTTTAACAGCATTGACTAATTGGGACCTATCATCTGTCTCGAGATAAGCTTCACTCGCGGAATTCGGATGACTTAGTAATACATTCTCGACTGCGGGGAATCTCCGACGTCTCAGACTCAGTAATGGTGGCTAGCTTAGTGATGGTTCGATGCGTGTCGGCCGCTCCGCTGTATCCCAAGCCGCCCAACTCTACAGCAACGATAGCCGATCTCAGGCCACAATGAAGCATCGAACATCTCTGAGCGTAGTATGAGCCTACAAATGGAATAATAGCTCAACATTTCATTTGGTTCATGGGCGCTCACCTTTTTCTGTGAAGCCAACTTTGCTCATCAGCATCACTGAACACATCGTCATGGATTCTAAGATTCCAGAGCTCATCTCTCCGATGACGTACCGTCTGACCCAACTCCGGGATCATGATAACATTGGTCCAGTACTCATTGCGCTCGGAGTTGTACTCATCTCATACCTCCTGTACAATGTAAGATGGTCTACCCCTCACAGCTGAATGAGCAACCGGTCTTCGGACATGAACCAACATCATATTGACACGATTTAGGCCGCTTTTGTTACCGACATCCCTCACATCAAAGGGTTGCCAGAGATACCAGGTGCTGTCCCAGTATTCGGCCATCTATTAAAGCTTGGCGAGGATCATGCTAGTACTTGCGAAAAGTGGTGGCGCCAGTACCGCCATTCCGTCTTTCAAATCAAGCTAGGCAACACCCGGGCTGTAGTTGTCAACTCGTTTGAGGATTGCAAAAAGATGCTCCTTGGAAACCAAAATGCTGTCATCGATCGCCCTAAACTATACACCTTTCATGGTGTCATTAGCAGTACCCAGGGGTTCACCATTGGTTCTTCTCCCTGGGACGAGTCTTGCAAGAAGAAACGCAAGGCGGCCGGAACTGCTCTTGGAAGGCCGGCCCTTAGGAACTATTATCCCATGTTTGACCTCGAGAGTTACTGTATCGTACGAGACTTGAAGAAAGACAGCCAAAACGGAGAACTTGAAGTTGACGTTCGGCCCTATATCCAGCGATATGCGCTGAACACTACTTTGACTCTTTGTTATGGTATTCGTATGGATGCTGTCTACGATGAACTTCTCCGCGAAATTCTTCATGTTGGATCAGCGATCTCGCTTCTACGCAGCGCTTCTGAAAACTTACAGGACTACGTGCCATTGTTGCGATACATTCCTAATAACGAAAAGAATGCACGTTCCAAGGAGCTTCGTGATCGACGAGACTCGTACTTGAACCTACTTTTGGATAAAGTTCGAGATATGATTAAAAGGGGCGTCGACAAACCTTGTATCTCGGCAGCGATCCTGAAGGACGAGGAGAGCAAGCTTACCGGGGTCGAAGTATCTTCAATCTGCTTATCATTGGTCTCTGGCGGATTTGAAACTATTCCTGGAACACTAACGTCTTGTATCGGTTCCCTGAGCACGAAGGAAGGGCAAGTCTGGCAGGACCGTGCCTATGAGGACATCAAGCGCTATTATCCGGACATTCGTGATGCTTGGACCAGCTCCTTTGTGGATGAGAAGATACCCTACATCAATGCAATCATCAAGGAGGCAGGACGGTATTATACCGTCAGCTCTATGAGTCTGCCACGCAAGACGGTGACAGAAGTCAATTGGAACGGTGCCATCATCCCACCAAAGACCATGATTCTGATTAATGCCCAGGCTGGAAACCACGGTAAGATGGAGTGACTATTTAACTCGGACAGAAAGATAACAGGGGCTGACTTTTTTCAGATGTTGATCATTTCGGGCCTGACGCGGGGAAATTCGATCCCGAGAGATGGCTCAAGAGCCTTGATCCCCCAACTGAGGCGGAATCTAGCGGCCTCGGTCATTTGAGCTTTGGGACTGGCTCTCGTGCGTGCTCAGGTCAATATATTGCATCCAGACTTCTGTATGCGGCGCTAGTCCGTATCTTGTCGTCATACAAGATTGTAGCGAGCGAGACGCATCCTCCAAACACAGACTATGTGGAATACAACCAATTTAAGACAGCGCTCGTTGCAATCCCAAGAGAGTTTAAAGTCAGGCTAATTCCAAGAGATACAGCTGCAACGACGGAATGTTTAGACGCGGCTGAACAGAGAACCAAGGAGCATTACAAGGAGTGAATCACATCGGTCTCATAGCAGAATAGAGAACTAAGGAGCATTACAAGGAGTGAATCATATCGGTCCCATAGCATTGGAATGAGGAGAAACGTGCGTGAGGAGCATAGCCTTAATAACACAAGAGCATTCGGAGAATCACTTGTATAAAGTGACGTATAATTATGCTCAATCAACACGACAATGACGCTTTACAATATTTGAAGCGAGATTACGATGATAGCATAATCAAAGCTATGATTGAACCGTTTAAGGTTGCTATACTTGACTACAAATGGCTGTATCATAAGACAAAAGGCTTACGTACAGATTCTCTAACCGATAGTGAATTACACTTAAGAAGCAAATTAAAGGTTATCAAATAGGCATACCATATAACTTCAATTGAATAACTTTGCGAATATGCATCTCCATCACATGGATTGGCAAAATAGTGCTTATATTTTCTGTCAGAAAATCAACAATCATAATTCTAGTAGGAGACATTTCTCATATCAATTTGACTCGTTAGTCCAAGCCCAGTAGAGGATCTGCTAGACTACTGGAATTGAATGAGGCATGTGTGTTCCTTTATCATTTGTTATCAGCTTGTGTGTCAAGGCCTGTTTTGTATGAGGAACTTACACGCATACGAGAGAAGCGATCGTCAGAAAACACCTCGAAACGAGCAGTGATCCCAGGTGTAGTATCCTCAAAGCCCGGCGCAATCGATGTCCTATAAGTTCGATATATCGTTGCTGCAAGTGTGGTCATTTCCGCCATTGCGAGACTGGAGGGCAGTTAGCATGCATTATGAGATTGGAAACTGATGAAACTTGAGGTTGCTATCTCGAAGGTAATGAATAAATGGTAGAAGAGGAAAACGTACTGTATGCCGATGCACATGCGTCCGCCGCTAGAGAAGGCCCAGAACCAGCGGTTCATCTCGGCGGCATCAGGCCCAAGCCATCGATCCGGATTGAACGTGAGAGGATCCTTAAATATTTCAGGATTACGGTGCAGACTGAATGGTGATATGCCTACGACCGTATGAGCTGGTATGTCGTATCCGTCAATTAAAGAGTCAATAGATAATGAGCGTGGCTCAAAAGTAGGCAGTGGTGCATAGAGCCTCAAAGTCTCCTTGATGACAGCATTTAGATAAATACATTTGTCGCTCGCTTCGGCTGTGGGAAACCCATAGCTATTCAGCGACTCCGGAGGCAGACTGAAGACCTCTTGTCTCAGTTTCTCCTGAAACATGTTGTTTCGAGGCTGCGAGAGTGACCAAATGAGAAACATGAGAGTGTCACTGGTTGTATCAATGCCTGCAAGAAAGTGATCGGCACATTCTGAAGCTATTTCTAGATCCTCCATTCCAGCTGACTTTTGACTTCGGTGATGAAGCCAAAGTCGGTCGAGGATTGAATACTCGTCATCTAATGTATCATGTCAGTTCGATGAAATCATTACCGTAATCATTTCATTTGAGTGAGATAAAAGACCATAAATGAGGGATCAACATCAATATGGGGGGGAATCTTACCGTCAGAATGCGCTTCTTGCGCATTGCATTTCTCGCCTTGCATAGCCGAATGGAAGTTCCGGTAAGCTTGAAGAGCAAATGCTCGAATGCCCGCGTACGTTGCAGGCTTTTGCATAGGCAATGCTGGTCGAACAAGAGCTTCCAAAATATTCGTGCGGGTGTATAACCATTTTGTCAAGGTTGGCAGATGCACCGTGAACCATGAAAGCTTTCGTCTGGCTGGGTCGAGAATATCGCTAATTAAGGCGCGATCGAATTTCACGCCTTCCAGAGCGGATGTTGATCCGTACTTCCCATACAGGAATTCCGTGATATTGTCCAAAGAGTAGTAATGGAGTGTACTGAAGATCTCGCTGATGTGGCCTGGCTCTGCTTCAATAAGAGACATGTATTTCCTGACCTTATCTTCCACCATACAGGTTATTGGCTCCTTGAGTATGACAGATTTTGAGTAAGCATGTGAGAGGAGCTTCTTTCTTTGACCGTGCTCTATCGGCGAGTGGAATGTGAATAGATTTTGTTGCCCGTAAACATCAAACATCCGATAGAAGCTTGTTCTGCCATACCGACTACCCGGCCCGTATATTGTTCGTAGAGCAGACAAGCTGTTGAAGGACACTTGATTTGGACCGATGCGAACAACTGGGCCATAACTTCGGTGAAATTGATCTATGGTACGGGTACTGGTGCCTTTCCAGTCCTCGTACGCAAGTCGCCATTTTGTCACAGCAAACGACTTAGGCCCAGGTACACGTCTTAACGGACTGAGAAAAAGAGGGTCTAACAGTAGATACTTCGCCAAGAAAAGCAACAGTGCCAAGAACACAGTGATAATCGATAAGGACGCCATGACAAGGGCAAGTTGTCCTCCGTCTGGCAATGTGGTGGGACACTCACACGACAAAGGGACGGCCACTCAAATGGTGTTGAAACAGAATTTAACAGTGTAAATCTCGGCGTTTGCCATTGGCCCAACTACTGTGGCTCTGTGAGATAAGCCACTTCACCATTGGGAGCTTGCTGACGGACAGCCCGAATCGGGCGGACCGTGGTAGACTAACGGTAAATCATCATTCGGCGCTTTGCGCATGCATGTTCAGCACTCAATGCCGAGGTCAATAGGATAGAGAGCTGAGAATGTTGAGAGATATCATACAAATCTTGACCTTTGAGCCTTGTCCGGAACGAAAATTAACGGACACTGCTTAACGGTCGGATGCTCCGAATAAAGTACGCCATGCACTAGAATCCACGCACTTGTAGCAGCATCTCATACGTGTACCTAGGCGTTCCTGGACCATGCTCCCCGGAATATAGTGAACAGCATGTCAGAAGTTTAAGTCATCAGCTGGACTTAAACGATTCGTGGCTGCCACACGCTCCAATCTCTTGTATCCGTACTTCTAGGACTGTGCTGTATGTACCTCTTATACAATGGCTGCCGACCCTGTCATCCTTGTCACTGCTGGAAGTGCTGGCTTAGGCGCTGCCACCGCAAAGCTCTTCGCGACCAAGGGATATCGCGTTGTCATTAATTACAGCACCAACACTAAACGCGCAGAGACACTTATCAAAGATCTCAATAGTCAAAATGGAGGTGCTGTCAACAATATCGCAATTCAAGCGGACTTGACCTCCCAGAAAGATGTTCGACGTCTTGTGCAGGAAGCCTATACTGCAATGGGCCGCATCGATGTTATATTCTCTAATGGTGGATGGACCAGGTTCACCAACACGACCTCAATCGACGATAACGTCGTGGATGAAGATTGGAATCATGCTTTTACTATGAATGTCAAGTCTCATCTTTGGCTTCTCCAAGCTGCAAAATCATATCTTGATGAAACCGAGGGTGCATTTATAACAACATCCTCCCTCGCAGGTGTGTATGGAATGGGCAGCTCTTTGGTAGGTTCAGCCGCTGTTGCGCTTGAAGATTGGTGTAATAACTGTCTGATTAGGCCTATGCTGCCACAAAAGCCGCTCAATTACACATGATCAGAGGCCTAGCCACAATGGTAGCGCCAAAGATACGGGTAAACAGCGTATCTCCCGGATTACTCCAAACAGTAAGCATAATATCTGACAAGTATGGTATTATGTAGCTCACATTAAAGCAGGACTGGGCAGCTCGCTTCACTACAGAACAGAAAGAAGCACACCGGGAAAAGACCAAGCTGAAGAAGTTCGTTAGGATTGAGGTATGCATCCCTTCCGGCATGTTTCACTCACACTTGCTAATGTATCGTGTGTATATAGGACGTTGCTGCGCAGGTTCTCAGCCTGGCAACATCTCAGAGCATTACAGGAACAAATATCATCATTGATGCAGGGTTTATGCTTTAGACGCTTTAGGGATATAACTCATATATACTAGAGCTCATCTTACAGCAGTATTTGAGATACCTCTCCAGTCAAGTACTGCCAAAACAATGTTATATAATGATACCCGATTGAGGGACAGGACCGCGCAAGTCCTTATATCGCCTGGAGATTTCTGCAATCATGCGTCGTATTTTATTTGCTGCTGAGAACTTGACGCCCAATGTATCAAATAGTTCAATGGCCAAATCAAGATCATCGATTGCTCTTGTCTCCTTCAGCACCGTGCCAAGATCGTTAGGTTGGACAGTCGTGGAATAGATAAGGGACAATGTTGAGGTAAATAAGGCGAGTAGATTCAACCAGTTGTATGCGAGGCGGCGTTGGCGGTGCATACTGAATGCCTGCCGGAGGGACATAGATGCTGCCTCCTGAAGCATCTTGACTCGTTCGCTATCCATCGTAGGGAGCAAAGGTGATGGCCGATATATCATTGCAAGATGAACATAGTAATTGAAGTCGTACCAATTGCTGGTGAGTTGAGGAACCCGGTCGTTTATATCCGGGAGTGGAAATGGCATGTTACGCCGCCAGTCGATGAGTTCCTTGTGAAGTGCATGGAGTATTGCTTCACGCTCTTTGATGCTTAGATTTGCAGCCTCTCGATTTGAATAGACTTGTCTCGCGATCTTCCCAGCAATCTTTCGAAGGGCAAGAATATGAAGTGGGACAGCTATGAGAGATGGCTGGAAAGGACTCTGGGGCTGTATGCCGTCGACCATGATATAGTCATCATCGGCACCTGCAAAAGCCTATTCGACATTAGTGGACGCCATGAGCTATGAATACGTGCTAGGAGAGCTGACCGGCACATCTATATCATCGTCGTGGACGGCAAATGGACGACCTAGCGCAACCGATACTACGCTATATTTTGGCACTCTTGTCAGCGAATCGAGTGAATGGGTATGAGATTTGTAGCAGTATAGCTCACCGATCCATCATGTAAATAGACCAGAATATACGCTTGCGTCTCTGCTCCATGTCGACGGGCATGCCAACGTATGTTGAAGAAGTATGTAGGCCCATACCTAAAGCCAAGCGAGCAGCCACACCGACCAGAAACCAGGTGTTCGGACCTAGTTGATTGAAAAAGGAATATGACACCTGTAACATGATGACTTCCAGCGCAGCCTGTAACATGACCGTCAGCTACAACTTATTAAATATTTCGTCACGGTATACATACCATTTCACCATACGACATAGCTTGCTCAAGGTACTCCAGGGCCTTGTTATAGTAGACCCTCGACTCCGACTCTTCTGCTAGCGAGACAGAAGAGTACGCCGTGGATCCAATCGCCAGGACCATCCATATCCTGAAGAGGCACAGAGGGGAATTGACCTTTGGGTCTTGAGGATGTTCTCGCATGTGTCTCAAGCTCTGGAGAAACTCGCTGCGGTGAACGATGGGGTATAATGTATGGGAGTGAGCAAAGTAGAACTCGACCAGGCGATCGATATGTGATTGGTCGCTTGGTAAATCTAGACCAGCGACGGCATCGTTCGGCTCTACGATGTCTGCTAGAACGACATCACCGAATAGTATGGGATGGATAGAGATTGACTCGTTGAGACTCTCAAATAAAGATGGATCTGATAGATCTAAAGGAGAATTGAAGTCGAATAAGCGGCCGTTATAGTCTTCGCGGTCGTTGATGAACACAAAGTCCGCCTTGTCTGGTGTTAGGCGGCGCAAGACCATCTGGGTGAGTCTCGCGAATGATATGCCAGAAGTTGACCCCAGATGTCGCTCCGCTGTGGCTTCGAGTGACAGTGTTTTGAGCTCCTCGACAAAAGACGGCGATGACTGTTGAAGTAACGGGTTGATCAACGCCGACTCTTGCGGGAAGGGTGCCGAGCTCTCGGCCACGGTTGACTCTGGAACAGGTGGCAATGGGTCACACTCGCGCTCCAGCGCCGTGATGTCTCCCATGCTCGAGTCAGCGTATGTCTGGTCGTCGCTGAAAGAAGGGATCTGGCTATCGTCTGTGAAAGTAGACACATGCGAGCTAGATGCCATTTTGTTCTCCATGTCCTGTAACCTTTTCTCCAAACTACGCACATATCTACGGACTTTAAGTGAGCTTCATGCTTGTTGAGGATCAAACGGGCACATTGTGGAGTTTCATAGGTGTAGAAGTCCATCATTTGGAAAAAGACACTGGAATCAAACCATGACTTACGCTACAGGATATGACGCCGTTTGAGAATTGTCGTCGAGTAGACTGCACCTCACGTGCGCTGCCTGGCAGTTCTTGCATGATGGCAACGCCCTGTCGCATCGCTTTTTCCTTTTGTGGCATCGGTAGCACGACGCCTTGGCTTTCGGATTGGGCATAGGAGAAGACATGCTGAGTAGACGGCTAGGAGTGTTTGCTCGTCCAATGTGGCGGGGTCGCAGAGCAGGGCTCCATCACGAAATCGAAGCCATTGGGGGGCATGCTGACTATCTACTTGATCGGGAGAGGCACTCATCGGCTAGGACAAGCTCGTTATCTTGGAGTAGTAGTCACTATCTAACGTAACCCACCAGTATGGGATCCGTAGTGCCTGGCCTAGCAGCATGAAGAGACCAATGGGCAAACACCGAATACCGAGCACCATGGTGTAGCGCCCCATTCCGATCTCCACCTGCCCCAGCAACCCTATTAACGGCGCTGTGCCCTCATTGCCTAGGGCATTCCTAGGGACGTCTAAAACTCGACTACCGCAACAGCTTTCACTTCCACGATCATTCGGGGGTCTGGTAGTTCCTTTACTCCAATGGTAGCCCTCGCCGGGGCACTTGCACGGTCTGCAAAGACCTTGTTCCACTCCTCATTCATGCCAGCGTATTGACTTTTCATATCCAAGATGTAGACGACGGCGTCAATGATGTTATGAATGCCGCCTTTGCCGCCTGAAGCACCTTTGATAATATCATCAATGTTTGTGAGGACAGCGGCCGTCTGTTTCCGTATGTCCAGAGTTTGTGATCCGTCCGAGTTCTCAATGACACCCTCCCATGTCCCGTCTGGTCGACAGCATGCGGTGCCCGAGATGTAGATGGTCTTGTGCTGAGATGCCGGGGCAATACGGGCCTGGGGAAAGCGGGTAGGGCCCTCGGGCAGCTCCGGATTAAGCAGAAATGCCTGCCCGTTGGGAGACATGTTCAAAACTTTCGGATTGTAAGCTTGAGTCGGAACTTGGCCTGCGATGTTTTCTGTGGCAACGCAAGACTGGCGCAATAGCTTCGAAGTTCAATTGCTTAATTGGAGCTTGATTTAGAACATGTCAATGATTTCGGGTCTACAAGCCATGGGGTCTCCATCTTTTCCTAATTCTCTTTAAATACACGTGAGGTTGGTCAAAAGCATAATCGTCAAAGATAATGACATCGCAAATCCCGCCGTGATATAGCCCTTTGTCCGACGGGTTCAGCGCCGCGTGGGCTGGATGCCCTCACGGTGATCATGGGCGCTATCTTCCCGAAATCGGGGCCACTGGCGTAGTGCTCCGCAACACTCGTCGGACCGGCCGACAGCCAATCTTTGGCCAGACATCGCAGCCGGACAATCCTTAGGTCCTTAGCGCAAGAAAGGTGACGGACGCACTGGTCTAGCTCCAGAAAACAAGCGCCTAACCGTGGGGTTATGGATAGCGTTATTGGTGGTGGTCTCCATGGCTATTGGGGCTGTCATCACTGGTATCGACACCAATTTTCGGCATCGCGCATTCCATGACGAAGGTAACAGCGGGGATTATAATCCCAAAGGAGCTCAAAACATCCTGCTAAGGCCCATCGACTCTAGATTTGACAACCTCCTACAAAGCGTTGATTTATGCAAATGACAGGCATCGCAGAACAGACCGCTCAGGTCTACGAGATTCAAGACTTGAAATTCCATGATGGAACGACCCTGGCCTCTGCTCGTCTGGCTTATCTAGATTTAAACCCCACTGCATCGAAAACTGCCCTGGTCATTACATGCTTTCGAGGGCGGCTCCAATCTACTTTGACATTTGCCAATGGCGCTCTTCAAGACTACAGAATCATTGTAGTTGCATTATTTGGAAATGGAGAGTCATCGAGTCCCTCCAATACATCGGATTTTCCATCCTCGATTGATTACCGGGATTGCGTAAAAGCACAGCATCAACTTCTCGCCAACCATCTTAAGATCAACAACGTCGACGTGGTTCTGGGCTTCTCCATGGGAGGCCAATGCACCTACTATTGGACAGTGATGTACCCTGAGTTTGTCAAAAATGCAGTAATCATATGTTCGTCCGCCCGAACTAGCCGACACAATTACCAATTTCTGGAAGGACCGAAGACTGCACTGCAGAATTCTGTTGATTATGTTGTCAGGGACCACGCTGCCGCTCCTTCAAAGCCACTTCGTGGCCTTCAAGCTTTTGGGAAGGCGTATTCAGCTTGGCTGACAAGCGCCGAGTGGTTCGACCAGGAAACGTACAAGTCACTTGGGTATCAAACCTTGAGCGATTGGGACCTGGATGTGACCACAAAGAATTATTCGAGCTGGGATCCCGAAGATATGCTGTCGAAATTGCGAATGTGGCAAAAGGGAGACATCACTGTCGTCAATGGCGATGGAAGTGATTCACTTGAAACAGCATTGTCGCGAATTAAAGCGCGTGTGCTGCTCATGCCCTGCCAAACCGACCAGTACTTTCGTTGGGAAGCCAGCGAGAGAGAGTCACGGTCTATTCCTTTCGCGTCGCTAAAGGTTATACCCTCAATCTGGGGTCACCTGGCAGGCGCTGGGATCAACCAGGCAGACGTAGATTGGATGGACAAGACAGTGGCTGACTTTCTGGCGAGTCCTAGATAGCATACAATTTCGAGTCTCTCTGAAATGGTGTGAAATGATATCTCAAACTTGTATTATTAGTTGCGTACGAACGTCATTAAGCAATAACGTAGCCTTGCCAGATTAGCTAGTTCGACATCTGTAACTCTCGTCCCATCTCAAATAAGGCGGCAGCCATCAATACCTTCTCGTCAGCCCATCGTTGACCAATGACCTGCATACCAATGGGGAGTTGAACGTCGGGCTGCCCTGGTGGACTTGAAAAGCCGCACGGCACATTCATTGCAGGATGCCCTGTGACGTTGAATGGGCAGGTGTTGCTTGTCAAGCCAATGGCAACTTGAAGTCTTTCCAGCACCGATAGCGTCTGACCTTCGCTGTTCACTGTTTCCGGATGCGGCATTGCAATCGTCGGTGCACATGGGGTTATGAGAATGTCCACTTCCTTGAGAGCCCTATCATATGCGTCTCTCAATTCGAAGACCTTGCGATGAGCTTTCGCCTCAATCCCTGCGGGAAGGAACTTTTCTGCAAAGCGTTCACTGAGAACAATGTTAGTTAATGCCGGATTTAACGCCGTCATGATATCGTAGGTCTCTTGAGTTGGTGGCCATCGTGGCTGGAGATGAGGTGATAAGTGGGTAAGATGACCAGCAGCTTTTCCCTGACACAACCAGCTGGCCATGGATGGTCTGGTGGATGCAGTCCAGATGACTGATCCATCCTGATGTAATGGTATAGATATGTCTACAACAGTCGCCCCGGCAGCTTCAAAGAATTGCTGAGCAGCTTTGCGTACAGTTTCGCGAACATCGATAGCGACACCAGGTATGAGGAATGACTCTGTGAGAATTCCCACCTTCCAGTTTTGACCAGCGCTAGGATGTGCGCCTATTTCATTGCGAAAATCTTCTAGTAGCTTGCGATATGGTTTTACTTGATCTCTTAAAGGGGATTCAGGGGTCATTCGTGGGTCAAGACCATCGTAGCCAGCCATGACCTCAAGCATTGCGGCAATATCCTCAATTCGAGACGCGATTGGTCCCAGGTAATCAATCATGGGCGACATAGATGCCGCCCCAGTGTAAGGGATGAGTCCGAAAGTTGGCTTGAGTCCATAAATGCCGTTGAAGGAAGCCGGAATGCGGACTGAGCCTGCCTGATCACTCCCAATAGCTAGTTCAACTGTCTCGCCCTGCTCACTTTGACTGTTCATTGACATTGAGTGTGCAGCTACCAAGACACTTGAGCCACTACTGCTTCCGCCCGAGGTATAGCCTTTCAGCCGCGGGTTGTGCACCGGTCCGGTTGATGATGTGAATGACAGAGGCGATGCACAGAAGCATTCGCAGGTCGACGTGCCTTTGATTAGAGCTCCTGCAGAAAGAAGACGAGATACAACGGTAGCATCTATCGGGGAGGGTTGGTACACGCCATTTTCAGAGAGCAAGAAAGCAGACGCTCCGAGAGTGGTGGGCAAACCCGCGACGGATATGTTGTCCTTGATAGCTACCGTGCGACCTTTAAGAATATCACTAGTTGGCTCAGAAGCACACAGGTCACATCGATGACTCCAGGCGTTGAAAGGGTTATCTTCCAGGCTTGGTTTCCAAAAGTGGCGAGACTCGGTGACTGGTACTGGCTTCAGGTTGGGATGAATATAGTCAGGCCCGTCCTCAATCTTCTTCATAACACTTTCAAACGACCAAAGCAGTCGAAGATAGTCATTGGCATCTCTACTATCTGAGAAGTTAATGTTGAGTTGTGCTGCAATGTCCTTTAGCTGCTCGACGGTGAACTCAGAGCTATGCAATGCAGTCAGCTTTGATGTAGCGCGAACAGTGATATGGGGAAGTCTACCCTGAGCCGTCCGATAGTGAGACAATCGACATCGCTATACCTTTAAAGAGCCCTTTCGAAGCAGATTCTATTGTTGAGGCAACTTAATCAATCGCTAAATCATCGTAGACAGCGTGTGTATACTGTGCTATGGCGTCGGGACTACCGACCAACTACAGTGGATTCGGCCAATGCTATCGGGGTTGCACGATAGACGCTAGCCGCCTGAACAAGATACGTCCCACTTCAGCCGACTATCAACTTGATTCCGCTTGATAGAATCACATCTGCTATTTTGACGCAGTCTGCTGCAACAAAGGCTTGTATATGATACGTTCAGCTTCTTTATGGTAGATCATATTATGTTACATTTTGAACATTCATAATCAAGCTGTTTCAGTCCAAGTTGCATCTACGGCCCACTTCACTCTTGGCCATTTGCAAGAAGAACACGCCCTCCATCTACACACAGCGATATTCCGTTGACATACGACTATTAGAGGTTGTTAATTGAGGGATAATGAGAAACTAGTAGGGGAAACAGGAGAACTTACACCAGCTCGGCTTACAAGGTAAAGAATCGCGCCAGCAATGTCGTCCTCATTCCCTGCCCTTTTGGCGGGAACCTTGTCGAAAAGGGAGCTAAACATATTTCCTTCCTCGCCGACAGGATTCATTTTACTTGGTACAACTTGTGATGATTAGCTAGCGTTCGCCATAATACCTTGAGCCACTTACAGCCCGGATTGATGCTAGCCACCCTCACGTAAAATCGGCTGAATTTCGCAGCTAGCAGCTTGACCAGATGGTCAGTTGCCGCCTTACTCGTTGCATAGCTTGTGAGATCGACGTTAGTCGCATTATGCATACTGGCGCAGGAACTTGTGATGACAATAACCCCACGGCCTTCACTTCTACCTTGCCGTCCACCGCCTAGATCAAGCTCTGAAGCTGCGGCCAAGAGCGGTAGTAGCGCAACGGACAGAAAGTAGTGGGCTGTCGAATTCACGCAGAATGTGTCCGCCCAGTCTGAATGTCGAGATGACCACATAGATGCTTGAAGCTCTGATAGTGAAGCAGACAAGACATCGCATTCGAGTGGAGGATCTCGCCGTATGCCAGCATTCGAGATTAGGATGTCCAGATGACTTTCTCGCTCACCAATGTACGCTGCCACCTGCGCAATGGCATCTTTGTCCTTGACATCGCAAGGCAACCTGGTTAATGATCGTCAGCATTTTGAATAGATACTAGAGGAGGTGCATGCAAGTTTACCCGTGTGCACTTCCGCCAGTTGACAACCCGAGCTCATTAAGTTCCGCCACCTTCTCATCGATAGGTTCAGTTGGCAAAGCAATAACATACACCTTTGCGCCGTTCACCACGAGGCCCTGCCATGTTAAGTCAAAACAAATTATATCCCAGGCAGGACGCTCGCAATATACCTTGCTTATCATGAACCCTAGTCCACTACTACCACCCGTGACCGCAGCTAC